AAAAAAAAAAAAAAAAAAAAAAAAAGGACAGGGTTTGACTCTGTCACCCAGGCTGGAGTGCAGTGGTATGACCATAGCACACTATAACCTTGAGCCTTTTGGCTCAAGTGATCCTCCCACTCTAGTTTCTGGGAACTATATAGGCATGTGCCACTACACCTGGCTAATTTGCTATCCTCCTGTCTCAGCCTCCCAAAGTGCTGGGATTACAGGTGTGGGCTACCATGTCTAGCCACTTCTGAGTTTTATGGAGAAAACCCTCCTTCTAGGTTAGCTTTATGTCCTAATTATTTCTGCTTCCCCAAAGAAAATAATTTAAATAGTACAGAGACCCACATAGACAAAAGTTCTCATGATGGAATTTGAAATAGTATAGGCTTAGCAGATTTGTAATTGTCAGGTAGCAATCTCTTTCTCTTTAAAACTAAGAAATTATTATCCATTCCATTTTAACTAAGGAAGAAAAGAGCCCCTTCAGGGCGGTGCCTGTGGCTCAAGTGAGTAGGGCATGGGACCCATACCGCGAATGGCAGGTTCAAACCCAGCCCCGGCCAAACTGCAATAAAAAAAAATAGCTGGGTGTTGTGGTGGGTACCTGTGATCCCAGCTACTCGGGAGGCTGAGGCAAGAGAATCGCCTAAGCCCAAGAGCTGGAGGTTGCTGTAAGCTGTGACACCATAGCACTTTACCGGGGGTGACAAAATTAGACTCTGTCTCTTTAAAAAAAAAAAAAAGTCCCTTCAATAATTGAAAAAGCAGATCAACCAACCAAGAATCCAACTAGAACAAAACCATGTTTGGTGATTAGCATTAAAACATGAATATTGTACATGTTAAAACATATCTTTATAATGACACTAAGGTAGAATGAGATTTTCAACAAGTCTACCTATCAGAGAAGACTTATCCCTTTTTTGTTTTGGCCGGGGTTGGATTTGAACCCACCACCTCTGGCTTGGCACCTGTGGCTCAAACAGCTAAGGCACTAGCCACATATAACTGAGCTGGTAGGTTCGAATCCAGCCTGGGCCCACCAAAAAACAATGACGGCTGCAACCAAAAAATAGTCAGGCGTTGTGGCGGGCGCCTGTAATCCCAGCTACTTAGGAGATGGAGGCAGGAGACTCGCTTAAGCCCAGGAGTTGGAGGTTGCTATGAGCTGTGATGCCACAGCACTCTACCCAGGGGGACAGCTTGAGGCTCTGTCTCAAAAAAAAAAAAAAAAAAAAAAAAAAAAAAAGAACTCACCACCTCCAGCATTTGGGGCTGGTACCTTACCCTTTTGAGCCACAGGCGCTGCCCAAGACTTATTCCTTCTAAGAATGTATAATTGGCTTGGGTGGTGCCTATGGCTCAGTGGGTAGGGCACCGGCCCTATATACTGAGGGTGGCGGGTTCGAACCCAGCCAAACTACAACAACAATTAAAAAAACAAACAAACAAACAAACCAACAAAAAAGAATGTATAATCGGTTTGGAACCCATAATTCAATGGTCAGGGTGCTGGCTACATACACCAGGGATGGCAGGCTGGAACCCGGCCTGGGCCTGCTAAATAATGACAACAACAAAAAAATAGCTGGGTGTTGTGGACAGTGCCTGTAGCTACTTGGGAGACTGAGGCAAGAGAATCGCTTAAGACCAAGAGGTTGGAGTTGCTGTGAGCTGTGATGCCACAGCACTCTAACCAAGGGTGACATAAGGAGACTCGCTTATCTTCCCTCCCCAAAAGAATGTATAATTATTTTGATTAATCAGGATATAAATTATGTTGTACAGTACACTACATTCATTTCTAGTTACTGACCTATCAGTTAAAGCCAGCAAGTTTAAATGCTACCTTGGAAAAGGAGTTAAGGTTCAGTAAAACTAATGAGGCTATCTTAGTAAGTGAGCTAAAGCCGGACAACATGAGTACCAGGTGCTATTTAAATCAGTAAGATTCAAACTCTGTTTCATCAAACCAGATACATACAGGTAGGTACAGTGTGGGTAGCTAAGAGCCTCCCCAGTGACACCTATGCCAGGAGGGGACAGTGGTAGCTAAGAGAAAAAAAACAGTCCGGACTGTCTATACAGTTGACCAAGATCCAACTGGAAATGAATTTCCCATCAAGTTAGCAAAAATCATCCATTGTAAACTGTGTTGACAAATGTCAGTTCTAATTCCACTGTAGAGGTTTTTCCCTAGGTTGATGAAAGGCAAGAGACTGAACTAGGAACCAGCTGTGAATTCTTGATTGTTCTACTGTTGACTGATTTAGGTCACTCTAATGAGGTTTCCTTTCCACCATTAAAGTTCATCTTATGGCAGCTCTGTCACTCAAAAGTTTCATGGGGAGAGGGAAAAAAAATAAATAAAGCTCTTGTATAGTCCTGCTACTAAAAATTTTACAATTTGTGAGGTGAAAACTAAGAATACAAGAAATATGGGGGAGTATCACTAGTACATAGGAAGAGAATGAGATCAAACAGCAATTACTTCTTTGCCTCTAGTTAGTTCTCTAAACCTAGTTTCACACTTTCCCCAAACATACTGAATGATCAGTGTCATAATAATTTAAATTGTCTTACTTTCTGAAAATAGCTAGCTGTCTCAAAAGGCTTAGAAAACATGTCTGGCAACTTCTCAAAAGGTTAAACCTAGTTATTATATGACCTAGCAATTCCATTCCTAGGTATATACCCAAGAAAAATGAAAACATATGGTCACACAAAAACTTGGGTATATGAACGTGTATAGCAGCATTATTCGTAATAGCCAAACAGTAGAGATGTTCATCAACTGATGAATATATACATATATATATGGCATATCCAACAAATGGAAAAATGGAATTTGGTAATAAGAAGAGATGAAGTTGCTCAGTGGTTATAGCACCAGCCACATGCACCAAGGCTGGTGGGTTTGAACCCGGTCCGGGCCTGCTAAACAACGACAGCTGCAACAAAAAAATAGCTGGGCTTTGTGGTGGGTGTCTATAGTCCCAGATACTTGGGAGGCTAAGGCAAGAGAATGAGTCCAAGAGTTGGAAGTTGCTGTGAGCTGTAATGCCACAACACTCTACCCTACCAAGGGCAACATAGTAAGACTCTGTCTCAAAAAAAAAAAAAAAAAAGAGACGAAGTAAAGCGATGCATGCTACTATATGATGACCCTTGAAAACATAGAGCTAAGTGGAAGAAGCCAGTCACAACAGGCCATATATTGTATGATTTCATTGAATAAAATATCCAGCATAAGCATATCTAAGAAAATAGATTAGTGAGGCTCGGCACCTGTGGCTCAAGTGGCTAAGGTGCCAGCCATATACACCTAAGGTGGCGGGTTCGAATCCCCAGCCCGGGCCCGCCAAACAACAATGATGGCTGCAACCAAAAAATGGCCGGGCGTTGTGGCGGGCGCCTGTAGTCCCAGCTACTTGGGAGGCTGAGGCAGGAGACTCGCTTGAGCCCAGGAGTTGGAGGTTGCTGTGAGCTGTGATGCCATAGCACTCTACCCAAGGGGTTAGCTTGAGGCTCTGTCTCAAAAAAAAAAAAAGAAAAGAAAAAAAAAGAAAATAGATTAGTGATTGCCTAGAGTGAGAGAGGTGGGAAGTGGGGGATGGGGAGGAATGGGGACAGGGTTTCTTTCTGGAGTGATGAAAATGTTTTGTACCTGAACTTCTCCCCTACCCTCTTCAGCAGAGTGCTCAGAGAAATGTGCTCAACTTCTTACCTCTGTATGGAATTTGTTGTCACACAAATACAATGACGTATTAATTGGTTTAAAAGGTTCAAAGTCAATGTTGACTTTCTTTTCCTTTCCTTCTTCTGTTACAATTGTTCCACAGTAAACAACCAGACCATTTGGAGGTACTGCAAAGAACATAAACAATTTCTCTATTTTAATCCAGACCTAATTTTCCTCAATTAATAGAAAATGTTCACACAAGTTATTTTCCCTGCCTTTTAGATCATAATTTATATAATGCAGAAATAACTTTAAATCTCTCAGGCAGAATTCTCCCCCTAATTTTAAAGTTTCCTTTGAGATGTTTCAATAGGATTTACTTTTTAAGTACAGTAAATACTATTTAATTTTCAACAAATAAAAAGGAAAACAAACAAAAAGTTAAACACCAAGCCCAAGTGACACTGATGAAGGCTGGCTGAGGAAACATTAGTGAACTGAGCACCATGGCAGGATCAAAGTAAAGACTGTAACCAAGACAAACAAAGTAGAGAAGGAAAAGATATCAAACTCTTGATTACCTTTGTTATAAAGTTTGAGTCTCTGTTGTACAGATGTAATGGCTCCCAGGACTGAAAGGCGGTTTACTCGTGACTTAATGTTAGATGCAGTTCCAAACTCATCTGCTAACATTTTTGCCACTCGTGAAATCTGGTCTTTGGGAGGAATGATCAATGATATCATGCTGGTGCCATTGCTATGGAAGAAAGAGTAACTCATTAGAGGTTCTAATGTCACATAGGTAGAGGGCTTAAAATTGTTTTTTTTTTTTTGTAGGATGAGCTAAAGTGAGGCCCTTCAAGCAACAGAAACAGGTGTCTCTCTGAGTAGTAATAGTAATGTAAGGGCTATATTAGTGTTGTTCACTAAAGTACACCCAGAGCTAAGAACAGCATTCAGAATACAGTACGTGCTCAATTATTTGATTGGACATCGTATGAGGTTAGCTAAGTAAAGAATGCATCTGAAGGGATTCTCAAGAAACACTTCCTTCCAAAGGAAAAAAAGGCTATATATCAAATGGTTTTGCATTTGATTAAAAAGAGCATAGTACTGAAAGCCTGATCAACTCTGGGTTCTCAAATAAATTCAGATTTCTAAAACTAAAAAACAGGACAAAAATCAGAACCATGGAGGGAGGATACCACTAAGGCACAGTTATATGAAGAGTCCCTTTTCAAGAGCCATCAATACATTTCCTAACTTCAATCCTGATGCCAGCAACACATCTTTTTTCTTTTTTGTAGAGACAGAGTTTCATTTTATCGCCCTCGGTAGATTGCTGTGGCATCACATAGCTCACAGCAAACCTCCAACTCCTGGTCCTAGGCAATTCTTCTGCCTCAGCCTCCCAAGTAGCTGGGACTATAGAAGCCACAAAGTCCGGCTATTTTTTTGAGCAACACATCTTAAGATACTTATAAACACCAGCTAAGAAATACCTTTATTATAATATTCCTACTTCTACATGCAGCAAACACAAAACTACACATTAAAACCTAACAACCCATTATTAATCATTAGGGAAATGCAAATCAAAATCACAATGAGATACTACTTCATACCCATTCATAATAGCTATTATTTAAAAAAACCCAGTGAGGCTCAGCACCTGTGGCTCAACCAGCTAAGGCGCCAGCCACATATACCTGAGTTGGTGGTTTTGAATCTAGCCCCAGCTGGCCAAACAACGACAACTACACCCAAAAAATAGCCGGGCAATGTGGTGGGCGCCTGTAGTCCTAGCTACTTAGGAGGCTGAGGCAGGAGAATCACTTAAGCCCAAGAGTTTGAGGTTGCTGTGAGCTGTGATGCCACAGCACTCTACCAAGGGTGACATAGTGTAAGACTCTGTCTCAAAACAAACAAACAAACAAAAAACCAGTGAGATCTCTAAAAAATAGTGGGGCATTGTGGCAGGTGACTGTAGTCCCAGCTACTTAGAAGGCTGAGGCAAGACTTAAGCCCAACAGTTTGAAGTTGCTGTGAGCTAAGATGCCATGGCACTCTACCAATGGTGACAAAGTGAGACTGTCTTAAAAAAAAAAAAAAGTTCAGGACAAGATTATATAAAAACTGGATAAACACATCAGGCAAATAGCTTTGTAATAAACATTAAGAACAAGTTTTAAAAAAAAAGTCTGGAAAATAAAGCTGTGGAAAAATTTGAACCCTTGTGTACTGCAAGTAGCAATGTAGAAAGGTGCAGATAACAGTGTGGTGGCCCTTCCAGAAAAATTAAGCACAGATTTGTCATATGATGCAGCAATTCCACTTTTTTTTTTTTTTTTTTTTTTTTTAATTCAGTCTCACTCTGTTGCCCTTGGTAGAGTACCATGGCATCACAGCTCACAGCAACCCCCAGCTCTTTGGCCCAGGCAATTCTCTTGCCTGCCTCCCAAGTACCTGGGACTATAGGCAACCGCCACAATGCCCAGATATTCTTTGCTGAAATTTGGCTGGGGCCTCGTTTGAACCCGCCACCCTTGGTATATGGGGCCGGCGCCCTACTCACTGAGCCTCAGGTGCCGCCTAGCAATTCCACTTGTAATGACATATCCAAGAGGAAAAGCAGAGAGACTAAAATAGATACACACTAACACATTATTCACAATAGCCAAAAAGTAGAAACAACTCAAATACCCATTGGTAGATGAACAAACAAAAACATGAGGTGCGTATGTGTATAGACATGTACAAATATTATTCAGCCTTGAACCAAGTTCTTACACACTGCAACATGGATGACCTTTGAACATATACCAAGAGAAATAAGCCAGACATGAAAGGACAATTATTGTATGATGCCACTTATATAAAGTACCTACAGTAGTCAAATTTCATAGAGACAGAAAGTAGAATGGTAGCTGCTAGCAAGCAGAAGAGGGAAAATATAGTGAGTTGTTATTTAATGGGTACAGAATTTAAGTTTTACAAGATAAAAGGAGTTCTGGAGATTGACTGTAAAGCAGTGTGGAGGTGTTTACTACCTAACTGTGTACTTACAAATGGTTAAGATGGCAAACTCTGTATTATTTATATTTTATAATAAGAAAATTAAAAAAAAAAGAAAACTCCAAAACTGTATCAACTAATTGGTTCATTTATAAGCTAAAAATTTACTTATTTATTTATTTAATACAGTGTCTCATTATGTTGCCTTTGGTAGAGTGATGTGACGTCACAGCTCATAGCACCCTGAAACTCCTGGGCAACCTCAAACTCCTGATTCTCTTGTCTCAGCCTCCCAAGTAGCTGGGACTACAGGCACCCGCCACAATGCCTGGATGGTTTTTCTTTTGTTGCATTTGTTGTTTAGCAGGCCAAGGCCAGGTTCAAACCTGCCTGCCTCAGCGTATGTGGCTGGTGCCCTAATCATGGAGCTATGGGTGCCAGACATATAAGCTAAAAAATGTTAATCTTTTTTTCAGACAGAGTTTCACTATGTTGCCCACGGTAGATAGAGTGCTGTAGCATCACAGCTCACAACAACCTCAAACTCTTGGGCTTAAGTGATTCTCTTCCCTCAGCCTCCCAAGTAGCTGGGAACTATAGGCATCCGCCACAAGGCCCAGCTAAGGCTAAAAAATTTTGAAGCATGAATTTCCTTAAAACAGTAGCTATCAACCTTGGCTGCACATTAAAAATACCTGGGAAGGCCGGGCAAGGTGGCTCACGCCTGTAATTCTAGAACTCTGTGAGGCAGAGGTGAGTGGATTGCTTGAGCTCAGGAGTTGGAGACCAGGGTGAGCAAGAGACCTTGGGGCACTGTATCAGGCGTCTGTAGTCCCAGCTACTGGAGAGACTGAGGCAAGAGGATCACTTGAGCCCAAGAGTTTGAGGTTGCCGTGAGCTATGACACCACCACATTCTACCAAGGGTAACAAAATGAGACTCTTGTCTCCCCCCCCCCAAAAAAAAAAAAAAACAACCAAAAAAACACTCCCTCCTCAAACCCAACTACAAAAAAATGAAAACCAAAGGGCTCCAACAGGATAAGTAAAAAGATGAAAAAATAACATACAAAAAATGAGAAAATATTTGCAAATCATATAATCTGTTAAGATTTATGTAAAGAAATCTAGAATATGTATAGAACTCTTACAAAAAGACAACCCAAATAAAAAATGTGCAATGGGTTTGAACAGATATTTCTTCAAAAACCATATAGGATGGGGAGAAATTAGAATCCTTCCTCAATGCTGCTGGGTAAAGTGGTATGATACTTTTGGAAAAGACATAGTTTATAACAGGATATTCCTCTTTCTTTCTTTCTTTCTTTTTTTTTTTAACTTTATTAACCTTTCTTTCAAACTTTATTCCCAGGCTTCTTCAGCTTAATTAGCTGCAAAGAATGAATTATGTATAAGCAAAAACTGAAAAGAGCTGCAACGTCCAAGGGGCTTGGGCTTAAAAATATCAGAGATCTAGATTTTATTAGATCCATAAACAAAAACAATTTTAAAAAGCAGTCATAATATAAAATAGCAGCTCCCAGGAACTTCTTCAAGTTTCATCTTCAGACGTTGACTCAATTCAGTTTGCCTCATTGTTGGAAGCCTCATCAAAATTCTCCACAAGATCTGGAACTTCATCATCATCATCCTCTCCAGTAGCAAGTGGTGCTTTTCCATCCACAGATTGTTTAGGCAGAG